TATATATATATATATGTATATATATATATGTATATATATATATACCACCCGCTTCTAGACTAGCATGGTACCAACGCAACAACAATAATTACAATAGCAATGAAAGGGGACAGGTGGATTGGATTCGTATTACTCTGAAAAAACATTGCACAAAATTGTTGTCGTCTATCCAACTGGAATATCTTTCCCGTCATTCATACTCCCTTCTGCACAGAAGAATGAAAAACTTTAAGATGCGTCAGGTTTCAGCTGACGTCAAGGCAGCATTGAACGCGCAGCAAAGGCAGGCGCGTATTGATTTTGCCCGAGAATGCAAATCTCGACGTGCGTCATTTTGGCGATCGTTTTATTTCGCTGACGAGTGCATGGTGTGCGACGAGCCTCGGAAGGCTCACAAAACAGTCATTTGTGGTGAGAATTTCCCAAAAGAACTTATTCTACCAAATGAAAGTTTCTCACTCGTCGAGATTACTCATCTGGGAAGGGATAAAACATAGCCAGCCTTGTTGGTGGATATCAGTCAAAGATACCAGGAATAATGGGAAATTTGTATCAGTAATGACGATAATGTCTCCAGAATTGCATGAAAAAAGATCGTCTGGAAAAGTTATCATTTTTCAGGATAACGCTCCGTGTCATGTTTCACGAGAGGTTAGTAAATTTATTTAGTTAAGGAGTCTGGTTCACTCATTATTTGATTTTAGACTTCAGAAAAGATGCGTGACTTTAAGGTCTAGTTCATGCAACTTCATCCTACTAGCCCAGATCTCAATGTGACTGAAAGTCCGTTTTCTGTTTTGAAGAGAGAGGTTCATGTGCGACCCATACATTGGACATTGGAGGCAAAAGTGCGATACTTAATGGAGCACAAAATAGAAAATGACTTCATAACAAAGTTGGTGAATTCCATGCCTAAGAGACTCGAAAAAGTCCTAAAGAACAAAGTCAAACCAATCGACAATTAGCATACACAAACTTTACACTCTAATTATTATCAATGTTAATTTGTTGTAGATAAAAACTGTTCTATTCTCTTTAGTTACCTCTTAACTCGTCATGGTCAACCACTACTGACGAAATGGGAGTATTCGCTGCACTCTGAACCATTCCATCTGCTGAATCAGGAAAATCAGGGCTGTGGAGACTCATCAAGGTTTGCTTATTATTATTTGGAAAAACATTTACTCCAGTATAAATACTGTTGCCTATACGAACCCACAAGTGTTTCACAGGGAACCGTTGCTTCAGTTTCTGTTAGACCTGTATATGGCTGTGGTGGTGGCGCAATGGTTTAGTCGCTGTCACCGGCGTGCTTTGAACCCTATGGTCCGAGGTTTGATCCCCGCCACCGCCACCCGACTTTGGTGGTAGGCAGCTCTGC